CTAAGTGAAAAAGCAGTTTCATTCGAATGTAATAAAATCAATTTCAATTAAATTCAGGCTATGTGTTCACCAGTAAATACGTGAGTGAATTATGGGTTTATTTTTTAATAAAAGAGTATATAGCATTTTAAAAAGAAATATCAAATAAATATTGTGCGATTAAATAGCGCGCGGGCCGACCAGTCCCGCCAGTCGTCCGCAGCGCGTCGTAGAGAGCATTTGTGTACAACTTTATCACGCCCGCAGTCGTCGTATAAACGCATATAAACGTTACAATATATTTAAAAAAATATTGATAACTGTGGTATGCCATTGAGTGGTAGTGAAAAATTAGGCATCCAAACCGGTTTGGATGCCTTGCTTAGTCTTGGTATGCACCCAAACAGTGAGCTAGTAGCAAGTAATAAACACGTAAATATAGTTACTACCTAAATATGCTTATAATAGAAACTGATAAGTAAAAATTTGTTATAATTATGAATGAGGGAACTCGTATGTAACAGATATACTTTGACGAAGTGACGGCTCCGTGGCGTACTGGTTTGGCAATGAGTGGCTGCGCTGAGGGCCGCGGGTTAGAATCCCGCACGGAACAAGTATTTGTATGGCCTACAAATAATTGTTTCGGGTCTGGATGTTAGTCCTTGTGCAATTTATGTTTATAAACTGCCTCCATCATACAGGAGAAAATCCTAGTATAGGGGTAACGTTATAAAAAAACTGGTAAAAAAAAAACACTTGAGTGTGCCTAGGCTGTCTTGTTTATTTTCATGTTGAAAGTAAGTATACGTCAACTCGTAAGTAAGCATCTATAGGCATAGTGCCACCGGCGATTACGACCGAACGAGTAGGACCGTATCATGTTGTACTGTCTATAATATAATATAGGTCACACGAGAAGGCTCTTTCTGGGCACCCAATTATTTTATAAATAAACGCTGTTTATATCAATCAATTACAATATATTTGTATACTACGTAGATGTATTCAACTATTAGTGGGTTATGAAATAATATCGACGATAAAAAAATATATATATATATATATATGGATGGTATGATGGCGATGGACAATTCGCATGACGCATGGCCAGGTCCTACAGGCACTCGGAAAAGAGGAAAACCTACATACACTAAATGGGCAGACGACATCACTCGAGTCGCAGGCAAAAACTGGATGCCGGAAGCCAAAGACCGAGACCGCTGGCGTTCTCTGGAGGAGGCCTTCACCCTCACTACCTGAGGGGTTCATGCATCGTATTTTTTTAATCTTATATCTTTATTCTATTTTAAATCTATAATTTTATTTTCATTTTATACTATTTTTTTAATTATATTGAAAACCAAAAATTGTATGTATATTAAAAGAAATGAATGATTTCTAACAAGTACATTTAATATTTTATTTGATTTTAATTTAATTTCATTTAAATTAATATATAATGAGAGACAGAAATGAAAATAAAAATGTAATAAAAGGGACAAAAAATATATAACTATTCACTCATGAGATAGTAACAAAAACAATGTAACAGTCCATTTATAACCTATTAACTTACTACAAGAAAATTTTATGTACAATGCATGAAATAAAAGGCTTTTTTATTTAATATATATATATATATATATATATATATATATATATATATATATATATATATATATATATATATATATAATATGTCGTCGATAGGTTTTTTTTCGTCATCCAACCATCCAGTAATACCATTTTGAGCCTTATGCAAAACATAACGATATATCGATATTCATCACGTAAATATATTCGATAGTTTAAAAATACCGATACGATATATATATCGATATAGTTTTTCACTTGCTCATCCCTATTCGTCGCTATTGCCACATGAGTAGATGAACGGAATATTGCTAGCAGCTAGCCGGACATGCGAGGGACCCCGCGCTTATTATTTATTCTGTGCCCGAGCGCCGATCCGCGTCCGTTTCACCCCCTTAAAACCTACGTGAACACCATACCATTTCGTCTTGACGCGAAATAGCAGAACAACTGCTATGGCAAGAGCGACAGACACAAATGTGCTTGCCCCGCATATACACCAGTAGATATTTAATAGGTCTAAAACTATATAAAATCACAAAAAAGCAACTGCATAGTATAGGAACACTAAGGTTTTGTATTAAGTGGGGCGCCACTATGAAATCTCGCACCACCTAAAAATTTTGCTAGGGCCGCCTCTGTGCCGCTGCGTAGAGATATTGTATCTGTTTGCGTTTTTTATCGTATTTACCACAGGGGAGTGATTATTTCCAGCCACCTAATTTTACCAACACACATTAGGCTATTATTTACGTTACCATCCATATCAGTTGGATGCTAGGCGATCTACTACTAGCTAGAGCTTCCTTCCTCACACGAATAATTTTTGGAATCGTTTACCATTGGCGATTTTTACGGATCGATACGACTTAGGGACCTTTAAAAGAAGAGCTTATTCCTTTTTAAAAGGCTGGCAACCCGTCTGCGATTTTCCTAGTGTTGAAGAATTGTATTAAAATATAAAAAAGGCTATATTATTGACTGGATGTACTGAATGTCACAGAGTCTGAGCATACCGTTAATGTATCACATTAAAACCAACGGTGAGTACAATATCACTTAATTTTTCACCTCCTTGAACATTGGACATGATTAAATCGTCATCCTGATAATATTTTTTATCGATAACACTAACTCATTTGTAAATAAATAGTGGCTTTACTGGATAACAGAGGATAACAGGCGCTTATTACAATAATGATAAATGTTCCAGAACAATCTACCAGAAATAATAAAATTTAAAAATTATTGGGAAATTATACATTATACTTGCGATAATAAATCGAAATCACATTTAGTTTTTGCTCCATATTGGGATTATCTTAATTCACAATCGGGTATATTTTCATTAAAAACTACTACGTTTGACCTTTTGACTATGTCACTAAGAGTTAATGACATAAATCCGAAATATATCCTATAGGACAAAAGTAACAGAAGACCATTTTTTTATTGTTGATGTCCGGTCTATTACCATGTCTTTTGGCAAGGAACTTATACGGGGAACTGGGCAAGTATATGATCGCTAAAAGTTTTAGTTATCATATTTATTTTTGTTTTGATTCTCGTAACATCTGAAATTACACACATCAGGCCGTGCTCGCTGAGTTTTTCTAAATATGAATATTTGTCCGATGAAATAGATTTTAGGTCTCTATTCCTTAGACAAATTTGTGCCGCATTAAACTTAGAAATGTAATTATCAGATTCCAAAGTAAAAATATTGTTATTTATAAACGAATATCCACATTTAGATTTGGATTTTTTTTTTATAGAAGAGGGGGCAAATGAGCATACGGTTCACCTGATGTTAAGTGACTACCGCCACCCATAAACATCCGCAACACCATGGGTATTGCAGGTGTGTTGCCTACCCTTTAGAAAGGGGTAAGCTCTTTTCTTGACGGTATCCAGGTTTTATCGGTCCGGAAAAATCTCCGGTGGTAAATTATTCAACAGAGAGGCCGTACACGGAAGAAAACTCCTTGTGAAACATACAGTGGTGGACCGCCAAATATCCAGATGGTATCGGGAGGTTTGCCGCGTAGTGCATTCATGAAATTTGGCGGCTGGGATTAATCCGAACAATTCCTCAGAGCCACTCAATGATATAATACGCAAAGAGATGCAACATCTCTTCGCAGCGCCAGTGAATCGAGCTGATCGGAAAGCACTCGGTCGTCGACGATTCTCTGCTCTGGATGCGGTCAAGTGGAAGGAGCTGGCACTAGGGAGCCCCAGCCCAGAGATGGGAACAGTATTCCGTGTGTGGCTGAATCTGCGCCTTGTAAAGTTGCAGGCGGTGTGCCGGCATGAATTACGGACAGTATTTCATCTGCTATGCGTGTATATGGCTGTGTATGGCGTGCTCAGCAGAGCGAATATACGGACAGTATATTCGCTCTGCTGAGCACGCCAAGCTTTTTAGAGGCCAATTTGGCCTTCTCTTCCAAGTGACCTCGAAACTGCACGTCACTCGATATGTAGACGCCGAGGATTCCGATACTGGCTGAGGCAACAAGGTGAGTGCCTTGAAACTCAGGAGATGCGACAAAGGGGTTCTTTTTATCGGTTAAGTCGCAAACTTGTGTCTTCTGAGGGTTAAACTGGACTTGATTTAGTCGCCCCCAGTGCGAGACTTTGTTCAGCAAAGACTCCACTTCAGACACAAGTTTGTCCCGGTACTCGGAGACGATTTTCTGAGAAATATTGGCACGGCCGGGGTACAGAGCATCACCAGTGCTCTCAACTGCATAGCAGTTAATGTTGCCGGTTTGCAACATAACATTGATATGCAGAAGGAAAAGCGTTGGTGATAGCACGCAGCCACAAACTAATAAGAGTACTAACGTACAGACGACAATCTTCCATACTAAAAAATTGGTCTATAGCAGCCTCAAAAATTGAAAGTGACATTTACGTTTTTAATTTTATCTAAGGCAAAGGTATTTATTTGTTTCAGCCTAGTGGCCAGTGGCTGTAAAAAATCCTCTTAGAACTTTGAAAATTTATTTTTATTGGTTTAAACTTATGTACGTGTTAACAACGTGACCACGTACATAAATTTAAACCGCTATTAACGTTTATTTAAATATAAAGAAATAAAATACAGAAATATTTATTAAGTCTTTTATTTTTACATTTCAGTGTAAATTTACAATTGCAAGCAAATTCTTTCCTTCTAGGCGCAAAACATCAATTTCTTTTAAATATTGCCACAGCCATTGAAACCTTTATAATTACAATCTAATTTTTTATCGGGGAACTGATGGTTCTTTGCACATAGGTCACATATTCAATTCAAATGATGTAACAACTTTTCTCAAATTTTTCTCCTTGTAGTATTTATGGTTTGTGCTTGTTGCTACCCATTTACCAAATATGCAGCAATATCTATTTAATAGCAGAGTACTCCTAGGCAGTTTTCAACCTGCAACAAAAATAAAATAAAAAAAAAGTAATAATGAGTTGATAAAACATAGTAGCATTTTATTTAAGATTGTGTGAGTATTGCAAAGATTCTTTTTAGATACAATCAGTCACTAAGGGTTAAGTTTTCAATGGTCACATATAAGTTATTCATAAAACAAAATCTAACATAAACAAATGAGAATTACAATTGAATTAATAAAATAGTTCAATTGTTTGACATCAGCTTGTAAACAATCTACTATTGTACTTGGCAGATTAGCATTCACATTCTACTTTTATTGTCGCCAGTTTAGATATTAGATACGGCAATATTTTTACATAACATAGCGGATTAATAATCTGAAGTGGCAATGGACCGTCAATATAGCTCGAAGAACCGACAACCAATAGAGAAGAAAGGTTCTCAAGAGTCAGCCTTGTGCCGGTAGCCAAAGTGTAGGGCAGCCCCCCACTAGATGGAGTGACAATCTGTGAAGATATACAGGAAGTCAATAGATGCTGATGGCTCAGGACTGTGCCTTGTGGTATTCCTTGGGGGAGGCTAATGTTCAGCTATGGACTTATTAAGAGCTGTAATGATGATGATAAAGTAAGTTTTGTTAAGGAAACAAAACCACTAAAAGCAAAACAAGTTTTTATAAAACTTATACAGATGTTATCCCATTTAAATTTCTTACTTTTAACTTCCTATATTTTCACTGCTTTGCAGCACCCATAACACCTATGACCATTATAACAGGTTGATTCAACATGTATTTGTATTCTTCGTCAGATGTTAAGTCAACTGTCAGAAATGCACCTGTTTTGACTGAACTAATTTGATGGTCTACACTTATCGTACAAAACACAGCAGAATTAGGCTGCTATTTTATGTGGGCATTTAATGAGAGTGTGATTCTACCCTAGTCGAGTTGATTCATACTACCACCATAATAAAGCTTCATGTGGTATATGACTACAACACATGATGTTTGTCAATCAATCAATCAACTTTTATTTGCCAACGAAGTGTACATAAATGGTCTTATAATAAAAACAATTTGTCTTTATTTAGGCATTGCAAATTTGAGAAAGTATAGATAAAATAAATTATTAAATACAAACATTATAGAGAAATTAGATTAATGATCAATAATATAGTCTAATAAATGAACAATAATAAATCATGCAAAATACAAAGGTATTTGTGACATTTTACATAAACACATAATTTTTCTTCTACTGATACTGTTCATAATATTACTGTGTATCAAAACGGCTTTTCCTTTTTTATGTATTTTATTTGTGTTAAAAATATGTAATTTGTTATTTGTGTTTTGTTACTAGTGCTTCAATGTATTCTTTGATTGAGTAGAAACATTTTTCAATTAAATAATAATAATGCTTTTAGTTTTTTAATGAATAGTGTAATCTTATTTTCAGTTTTTATGTGGATATGTAATTTATTGTAAATGTTGTGTTTTTACAGCCATGTAGTAGCGACTCTGGTTTAGCATTTTAATTCTAGATGGTGGTAGGTATAGTTTGTCTCTGTGGTGTGTATTGAAATAGTGGTTGTCTTTTATTTATTTATTTATTGCATTTATATGTGGTTTTGTATGATAAATTACAGCACATGCACCCAGCAAAAGTATAACAATATGAAATCAAGCTAGCTAGCTCTAATGCCTTAATTCTAATACTAATATTTGTATTATTATAATATTTAGTGTATATTTCATTACTATATTTATTTATTTACTTTAACTTAACATAATATTCATCTAATTTATAGTAACATTTCTTAATCAAAAAGCTATTTAGTGCTATCACAAACTTCTTATATTCTTCAATTTCTATTATATCTTTGAGTAATGTGTTATATAGTTTAACTGCCATGGAATATGGTCCAGAACTGTATAAAAATAAAGTGGTTTTAGGCAATATTTATACATTTCTCTTCGTAAGTTGTATATTACATCTATGTATATTATAGTCAATAGCTTTTTGAAATATACCTATCTTAGCATTTTCTTACTAATTTTCATGATTCTAATATGTATAAAGATGTAACTGTTAATATCTTGTATTGTATACAATATAGTCTACAGCTTCCCTAGTCAATATTTGCTAGAACTCTTATTTTGACATTTGATACATTTTTACTTTTGAGAGGTGATTTATGTTCTTGAGAACAAATATGAAAATATCAAATATGTATAATGATAGTAGTGTGAGAATGTTATGTTTAAAAAGTAGGGCCTACCATTGTCAAGATCTTGTAATCAACTCGCCTGCCAAGTTTGAAAACCAAGGCATATACACTATCTTGCGCCAACTATGACAAAATCTTCCCTAAGTGGCAATCTATGGAGGATGCCTGCAGTCAGCAGCAGGCTTTCATAGGATGTATATTTATAGGAATAATGAATTAAGAAAAAATAAATAGAAAAATTACTGACCGGTCGTGATCTCAGCTTCTGTAAACAACGTGAGATATGCATCCTGGTTACTTTGATCTTAGATCCTGGTGAATACCAGATTTATTCTGGATAACAAATCGCAGTTCATAGTGTCGGTAGCACACATCATCATCAGCAGCAGTCCACTGCTGGAAATAGGCCTCTCACAAGGCGCGCCACTTAGCCCGATCTTCGGCTACACGCATTCAGTTTTTATCAGCCACCTTGCGCAGATCGTCGCTCCATCTGGTCAGGAGGCGTCCCACACTACGCCTAGACGCGGTCTTCACTCCATAACACATATATAATAAAAAGTAGCACACATGCAACTTATTATTATGTAAGTTCTTGTACATACTACATAGATTACTGTATTTATTTATGTTCTTGTACATAACCTTTGAATTTTTTACACTTTATGTCGCCGCGTAATGGCCGCGGCGCATGCCGCGACACATGGTAGGGTGTGGACAGAAACGTCAAAACAAACGTCAATCTAAATCCGTAGCTACCTACATATTTATACATTTGTAGTCAATAGCTGTCAACATCGATTTTTGAGGGCCATAGACATAAGGCTAGGAATATTTGTATAGAGATTACCACCCGTGCACGCAGCCTTGTGGAACACCAGCATTAATAGGCTTGTAATCGGAGCTTGCACCGTCTACAACGACCTTGATGCTCCTATCTGCAAGAAAGCTGATGATCCAATTGCACAATTTCTCGGGAAGCCCATAGAAAGAGAGCTTCGAAAGAAGCGCTTTATGCCAAACCCGATCGAAGGCCTTTGCAATGTCCAAACTAACGGCCAATGCCTTTCCCTTGGACTCTACTGCCGTCACCCATCGATGAGTCACGTAGACCAGAAGATCACCAGCTGATCGACCACGACGAAAACCGTATTGGCGATCACTAATCAGCTGGTGATCCTCAGGGAACCTCATGAGCTGGCAGTTTACAATGGACTCCATTGTTTTGGAGAACAAGAGGGTGATGGCGATGGGCCTGTAGTTGGACGGGTCTGAGCGGTCGCCTTTTTTAGGGATCGGGTGGACGAAAGCCGTCTTCCATGATTTTAGGACAACGCCTAGGGAGTAGGAGTACCGGAAAAGACGCGTTAAGACCGGTGCCAACTCTGGAACACACGTCCTCAGCACAACTGGGGAGATACCGTCAGGCCCACTCGACTTGTTGATGTTCAGGGAGAGGATTTATTTTTAAAATATCAATTAAGCTGTCTTACTGTTTTTATTTAAAATGTTTCTTTATGGTGTAAATTATAATACCACCGCACCGTTTATGAGTACGTAGTTGTAAGTACATAATATTGTAGCCAGGTTTATTATACAGATGTACCACTTTACTTGAGATATCAGCTTCAGCGATTATAATAACAATGAGTGAATAATTTGTAGTATGTTTTGTAAAGTTATTTGTAAGTGATCTAATATTTAAACTTGTCTTTGAACCGGAGGCGGATTAAATGTTGACAGCGCCCTAGACTGGTACCACATATGCGCAGCGTCCCTCTGGCGGTATTTTTCAAATAAACTGTGTTATAATTTATATTGTAATTCAGAAGCCCATCCCACCCCACAAAACACGTGAAAGCGGTGTTGAATAAAAGTCTACCCGAGGAGGGTACTAGCAAGTCAGGGACCTCCCCATGAGTCGGTGGGTGCCTTTATAGGCCCACAGCGATTATGCCGAGACCAAATCCAAATGACTACAGAGACCGTGTAACAACAGAATCCATTCGCAGAGATCGTGTTCCTTAGCGATTTTAACGCTAACCACGCCGAATGGCTCGGTTCTCTTACTATCAATAGCGCCGGATCCGTCTACGACTTTGCCTTGGCATAAGGTCTGACACAACTGGTCACTTTGCCACACGGATTCCAGATTTGGAGAATCATGCAATTTCCCTGTTGAACCAACCTTCTGCTGACCTCTCATCCAGACGGATATAAGGTATCCGTCGATGCCCCTTATCACATGCTCATTGCAGGCGCGATATGTAGGTTACCACTACAGGTCTACAGGTATGTATTGCAAACAAGTATCATTCATTGTTATATTTAAGTTGGTAAGAATTACTTCGGCCATATCCGCTAAATAAAATAAAATGATGTATCATACCTAGTTTGAAGAGCATCTCCCGGCCTCCCTCAATTTCGTGCACTATCCCCGTCACCACTAATCCCAGCACCACTACTCCCAACACGACTAGGAAAAACACACCATCGATGATAATACGACACGTGCTTCGCCTCTACACGAGGTATCCTCAGGTGATGTGGACTCCGCAGTGGCTGAGCGCTAGTTTATTAGAGATTTATTGTTATGCAGAAGATAACACTGGCGATTCTGCACCGCTATTATTTATCCGGAACATGTCGTCGACTGCCGGAACAAACTTGTCTTTGAAGTCGAGTCTTTCTAAATCTAGTCCTGTTTAACCCCCAAAAGACACAGGTTTGCGCGTTTACCGCAAAAAAAAACCCCTTTGTTGTATCTCCTTAATTTCAGGGTACTTCCCTCGTTACCTCAGTCAGCATCAGAATTCTTGGCGTTCACATTTCGAGAATCGTACAGTTCCGCAGTTACTTGGAAGTGATGACTATGCAGGCATCAAAAAAGCTTAAGCCCAGTAGATTGAGATGGTATTTCATCCTGGCCCACCGTTTGCAGCTTTACAAAGCGCAAGTTCGGCCTTATATGGAATACTGTTCTCATCTCTGGGCTGGGGCATCCCAGTATCAGCTCCCTCCCTTGATCGTATTCAACGGGGAGCGGCGGGATTGTCAACGACTAAGTTCTTTCCAATCGGCTTGGCCTTGCGAAGGGACGTTGCATCTCTATGCATCTTCTACCGCATATACCACGGGGAGTGTTCAGGGGAATTGTTTGGATTAATACCAGCCGCTGAATTCTACCATCTGACAGAACTCGAAATTCCTTCCTTATTATCTCGATGGCTGGCGGTCCACTATTGTGCGATTTATGCGGAATTTACCGCTACTTACGACCATGCTGAGAAGTTTACTGTCGACAGCGGTTGTTCCGGACCGATACGATTTAGGACCTTCAACAAAAGAGCCTACTCCTTTCTAAAAAGCCAGCAACTCACCTGCAATTCCCCTGGTGTTGCGGATGTACATGGGTGACGGTGATCACTTGCCATCAGGTGAGCCACATTTACTTATTTATTTTTTTTGGTTTAAAAACTTCACAGCGCACTCCTTTGTAACCTTGCGCCCCTAGGCACTAATCTGCCACTGCGTTATTTCATTTTATATATGGGTATTACTAAGGCTCTCGTTGTGCTGATGGGCTGTTCAATGGAAATATGCCTCCACATCACATGTCTGTCTAGTGGAGGGCCACCCCACACTTCGCCTACCGACCGGTAGGAGACTCGAGAACCTTTTTTCCCTGTCGGTTGTCGGTTCTTTGCATAGAATACTACAAGTTCTTCGAACTAGAGTGCTTAGACGTTTATCTGATAGTTCTTTTTTAAAATTTTATAGACGTTGATTATGTACCTATGACTACTTTAATGATTACCAAAAAAAAATTAAAAAAATTAATAAATTTATTAAAAATTGATAAATTTATTAATTTTTTTTTGTAATCATTAAAGTAGTCATAGGCACATAATCAACGTCTATAAAAATTTAAAAACGAACTATCAATTAAACGTCTATGCACTCTAGTCTAGTTCAAAGAAATGTTTTCATTTTACCAATATCTCTACAATAAAACCTCTTAAGTATTCAGTATTCGACTGAATAGGTCTTTAATTGAGCGCACAGATAACCTCCTAGGCTCAATAAAAGATATTTATTTTGATATTACTGAGCTGTGGCAGCTCAATAAGCGCTAGCCTTAGAATTTCATAAGTACTCGAGCAAACCAAATTTCAATCCTGCAGGTGCAATGAAAGTTTTTAGTCTAATAGCTTACAATTCACGAGCTCTACGATGAAAGAAACTATTATGAGGAAACTCGCATGTCGGAGAAATAAAAAAATATTTTGAGGATACGAGAAGTCTGCCAACGCGCTGTGAATTCTTTCTGGCCTGAAAACCCTCAGAAATGAGGAGGCATGTATTCAGAGATATGCAGAATTTTCCCTTAAAGAAAGTAACAATTACTTAAATCTATAAATAACGGAAGGGATTAAATAAAAAAAAATGTATATTTCATTTGACACATTTGCGTCAGTATTATTGGGGCGAAATATTTACAAAGAAAAAAATGTATAACATGTAACAAAAGCATATCAAACTATGTTGATATTAAAGAAATGCAGTTATAAGTCATAAAATAGTTGAAACTTAGACATTAGATTAAGTTTTAAGGTCTATTAATGTATTGTTTTATGATATAGCAATCGATTGTTCTCTTCTACTCAGCGCTGGTGGTATATAAAGATACGGGTGGTGAATATGACTCTTCATAAAGTTGTTTTCAATAAAAATATTATTTATAAGTTGATGGAATGTTGCGTCACCGATAAACGGACAGTCGAATATAAGACCAAATTGTATCGCTTGAACTATCTGCCTTTCTTTTTTATTACAATTTAAAATATTTAAAAATACTTTTTGTAAAGCACAACCGAGTTATTATTCAAGCAGAATTTTTATGATTATAGGATATGCGAGTCCTAAAGAATTTTTTGTTAAAAATAATTGAAAAGATCGATTGCCTAGTATTGATTTATCTTCTATTCGTTATGCTGCTGTGTATAACAGAACAATAAAAATTTAGTCATACATCAAAGAGAACAATGAAAAAATTTGTTAATTACAATTAAAATATTTAAAATTAACTAATACATTTAGAGGATTCCTGGCGTCGAGTAAAAAGTTCAGCACAGTCAAATATTTATCAAAATTCATAGATAAATATATCAATTTAGTAAAAAAATATCACTCATTCGTCCACACATTTACATATCTACAATCTAGGGAACAGTTTTATTAATAACCCTTTAATATGAGGATATGTGACCAAAGTTCTATGCAGGGTATATTGACACAAAACTTTTTAAGCAGTTTACATTTTTAATGTGCTTGTAACAACCAGCGTCGATATCTTTTGACTGAGACTGACTTGATAAATAATATTTTAATAATCTGTAGTTTTCACACATATTCCATTCATTTTTTTTTGGTCCATTGTAACTTTTATAGAAAGTATGTTTAATATGAATTACTTTTAATTTTATAATTTAGATCATCAATTGCATAAACAAATGTTACACAAACATAATTAAAGGAATGTAGAATTTTCGTCATAATCTAAATAAGTACAGTGATATGTATTTTTGACACCTACTTAATTATTATAGAAGCAAATCTTAGATATTTTCGCAATAGAAAATATTTTAATTATCTATCTATAAAGGTACTCTTTAAGACACGTAGTTAGAGGAGACTTGTGTATAAATGCTGAACTTTTTCTCTAGCCTCGTATAAACACTATAACGAATTACCCTTAACATCTTATCACCGAAAGTTATTGATGTAAAATAAATTAAACCTAAAAGGTAACTTCCAACAACTCCTAGTTTAACACTGCCGTGTCATCGCCTCAACGTTAGGCTCCCCAGTGCCTAGCCTCACGTGCGTGCCTTACTAATTAACAAATACCTTATCATTCGTAACATTTATAACTATAAAATTCGGTGTTTACGAGCCAAATTTTTACATTTGTAAGTCTTGTGACTAGATTTTTCTTATTAAAATAATACACAAGTAAATAACATAGGAATATTTGTACGACGAGATGCCATTGATCACGAACGGTAACTCAAATGCAACTAGTATTAAGTAGATCATTTTATAAATTATATAAGATAAAACGAAACCACACACAAATATACATTTATAATAAATTAAGCTTAATTATTAAGTATCAATATTTCTTGCAAGACTTACGTGGTAAGGTCGCCATATTTATTAAAAATCGATTTATGTAACAAAGCAAGAACCGATTCCGTTGGAGATCCAGTCCTATAACGTTTAACTAGTTTTAAAAAATATTATTAACCTAAGTAAACACTTATAAAAATAACGGAGTCGGCTCTACACAAGAACAAGTAGCTACGAAGGCGGATAATGGTCCTCGGGAAATCGGTGCAGTGCGGTCAAGCGTGATACCTAGAAGGGTAGGCTTGCACGAAACATGTTTTCGATGAGGGGCGGCGGGGGTACCAAATCTTCTAGCTTGAGGTAAAATATGCGCTGCAAGCCCTGTACTGAAAGTGATCGAAGTTCAGGTAGAGCGCCTAGCACGCGACTGAAGTGAGGCGCGCCCACTGCGTTGCCGCCACCACCAGGCATGTGTGCTCGAAGGCATCCGATTATCTTCATCTGTAGCTGCTCCACTCGATGTGGCTCTTTTAAGCCATGTCTCTCTGTTAACAATATACAAATATATAAGTAAAATGTTCCAAAATGCCTTTGTTGATGGAGTCGTATTAATTTTCGGCTAAGTAAAATTCAATATTCAAGAAAATTTATAATTCTGTCAAAAATATTTCTTTTATAAATTTGCCAACTCGCTGTCTTGAATTGTCAACTTTCTCTAAAAATAATGTTTGTTTTGGGTTTGTATATCAATTATCTATATATCAATTAATTATTTTCATTGGCCTAACACATTAAGAAATATCTAAATGTTATTGTGCGGTGTACGTACGCAACGAAGCTTAAATCTTGAGTAAACAAATTTACAACAAACAAAATTATTATTTTTAAATTAGATTAACTTAAACTAAAGAGTCATTAAATCATCATCACCATCATAATTACAACCCTTCACATGTCCACTGCTGAACGTAGGCCTCCCCCAAGGAATGTCACAAAACACGGTCCTGAGCCAACCGCATCCATCGACATTACACATGTATAATTATAATGATTTCTTAAATTTACGCGAACACTACACATTGAATAAAACTATTATTTACGGATTTTATCGCGTTTAATTCAACTTTAATTTATATTTATTATGCCGACGTTTCGGGTGCTTTACAGTACCCGTGGTCAGGGGGGGGGGAACTGAGATGTTTGACGTCCCAATGTAATAGTTAGTCCGGCTACCTTCAGTTTTTGAATATTAATTTTTGGTCCGATTTACACAAAATTAGTTTTTGAATATTAATTTTTGGTCCGATTTACGCAAAATTTTGCGTAAATTGGACCAAAAATTAATATTCAAAAACTAAAGGTAGCCGGACTAACTAAGACATTGGGACGTCAAACATCTCAGTCCCCCCCCCCGTGACTACGGGTGCTGTAAAGCACCTGAAACGTCGGGATAATAAAAATAAATTAAAGTTGAAATAAACGCGATAAAATCCGTAAATAGGTAATAGTTTTATTCAATATGTATAATCAATTACTATATTTTTGTTTACAATTAAAAGTATTTTTAAAGGTAAGATAACATACCTGTAATTAAAGTTAATGCACAGAGGCAGGCAAAGGTTGAAATATCAATGTCCATTGAATGTAAAGTGTTGCTGAAATCTAGCACTGCATGTAACCAGTCTCCAAACGCTCGTTGGCACTGCCGTTTGTCGAGTACAAGACCGTTGCAGAAGGTCAGCTTAGTGTCCTCGGGGCGCGTGCGGTATGCAAGTCGTAGCACAAATAGTTCAAGGCGCGCAGATGCAAATAACTGCTCACGGTCCTCTACGCATAAGTCCCCAAATCCAGGTACTTTTTCTGCGAAAACTTTTATCATATCAATAGATGTTGTCAGTAGTGAGTAAAATTGTTGAATTACTTCCAAATCAGATAAGGGAGGCTCCATGGGATTCGGTTCTCTGTACTGCGAGTAATCGAGATTGGCAAAGTCGGGCGAAGTATCCACATGAGCTCGAACGAGAGCAGTGATCAAAGAGATAGGAGGGCTCGGAGGAGACTCTTGTGGACATTTTGGTTTTGAGGGTAACCGTCCTCTTCTGCCTTTCAATGAGTCAGTTCTAACAACTTCCTTCACCATGCCAACGGCGAGACATTTTTGGAAACGACAAAACTGGCATCGGTTTCTTCTTCTTTTATCTACAGGGCAAGATTTTTCAGCTAAACACACATATTTTGATCCTTTTTGGACAGTTCTTTTGAAGAACCCTTTGCAACCTTCACATGTTCGAACACCATAATGTTGACAGGCTGCGGTATCGCCACAAACTGCACACAGTTGACTTGGAGACGGTGGAGCAGCGCGGGCAGCAGCATTATCTTGAGGAGCTCCACCAGGTGAACTTGATGCAGAACTTGGTGCTGATGCTTGCATGCAGTGAACTCTTCCGCCATGCAGCTTTGGACTATCATTAGAACTGCTGGACTCAGATCTTTGTACCGGTAGCGATGACCGACGTTGTCTTGATCCTTGATCTGACGTTACGTGTAAGTCAATTGAACTTGGGAAAGGAGGTAAAGAATAAGAATCTTGATTTGGAGTTATACCTCCCGTGTCAAACGTTGGACTGCACGGTTGAGCCGGAGCATAGTACGTAGAGGGGACGTAAGGAAGAGCCGGTTGATGATATTGGTATAAGAGCTGCGTAGACGTGTGTCCCTGATGAGAATACGCGCTCACGTTGTAACAATCTTCGTCCATTTTGATCCCGAATTCCGCCATCTCTTGCTTTGGATACCGGACCGAATACGTTTCCTCAAAACTCGGTAATGCAGGACCAAGCGTTGGTGACGGGGTCTCACTGACTGGCGTCACCCGCTGCGATTTAACTTCGAGCGGAATGGGTGCGTGGAATTCAACGTCCGGAAATGGATCTAGGTTCTCTTCTAAGATTTCCGTGGAATCGTCTTGGTATTGCGGTGATAAAAGATCGGTGAAGGACGAACCGTAGTTGCTCTGTAATAGAAAATTGTACACATTGAAAAATCGATCATGGAGGCGTTACCAAAAACGTGGGTGGTAAAGAAGGTAGGGGCGGTATCGGTGACCAATAGTTCGTGTGTGCTCATTTCGTTATGTTTTATTAACTTTTTTGGGTCATTCGCTATTGTTTTACAATACTAGTACGGGTGTGAATAATCTATAATTTAATAAATATAGTTTGTGTGAAGAATTTTATTTGGAAACTTACGTGTGTCTGCAGCAGTAGCATGCTGGAGGAGTTCGACGGAAACGCGCTTGGCGAGCGCGGCTCAATGGCGCTCGGCCCTGCAACAAAGACATTCAAAAGTTAATATCGATCAACAAAACTAGACTTTGGATAATTTAGAAGATTTGGGAAAATATTACATGTTTATTTTTTATTTATCATTGTTTAGACGTGTTTCATATTTCTAAAATACTTGAACTGATACGAAGTTTCGAGCGTGAATGCGTGGAAATGCGACTAGACGCCAAGTTGTTGGCGTCGTGCTTTGAACTATCACGCTATACAACCCATGCATTATTTATATTTACCCTCGGCGAACATACTTTGGTTCCTCCTTCACCACAAGCACCCGTAATTGACTAATCAATATACTCTCGCGACTGTTGATGTAACGCTACCCCTGTATGCTTAACAATGGCATCAAAATGGAAAGGTCTTCTAATTTATACTGCAGTTTTACCCGCTAAATATTGCCCGTTTGAATACATTGTGTCACGGTGCTTGATTCGCCACGCCCCGAAAATTGAATCCTATGTATACACCTCATCTACGTCTACTAAAGAAACGCTTCATACTATTGACACTGGCTATTTATTTTCAACCTTGTGTCTTTTAATTTAAGCTCTATGGTTAAGCGCAGGGGTACTAGAAAATTTTTAGGGCGAAAAGGCGATACATCCCTTGGGAGGTTATGAAATCAGTGGCATTTGCAATTTCTATTATGATAAGAACCATTAATTTCTGTCTTATTAGTCTACAAACAAAACAATGTAGATTTTGTTTTTAATATTATTTTAATGTACATATTGTAATACGTAGTTGTAATACATAGGTTCGATATTAGTTGAAAGTTTAAAAATCAACATTTATTTTACTGTTTTTATAAAAGGTCTGTGTGTATCTATGTACTATGATGAGCCTATTGTAAAAGTGATGATATAATGAATTCTTAAAGCACCCGTGGTCCCCCCGTGACCACGGGTGCTGTAAAGCACCCGAAACGTCGGGATAATAAAAATAAATTAAAGTTTAATTAAGCGCGATAGAATCCGTAAATAAAAGTTTTATTCAGTGATGATATAAATTTAAATTTTAATAAATTGAAATATAATTTATTTCAAAATGTCGAAAAACAATGAAATGTTAGTTAATTGATTTTGAATTCAGCTTAAAAAACATGTAAGAAATGGCTTTTCTAGTTTATTTATTTTTATTAATTGCAAAAAATGTATTACACAAATATAATAAAAACTATCTAGTGCATGTTAGGTTATTGTGTAATGTAGTGCGCCGCTGTGAATCTTATATTTCTAAAGTACGCTCGTGTTCGTTAGAATTTAATGAAAATGATTTTTTCTGTTTAGTTCGTCTTTAGTTTTGAAACGAATAATTTAAACGCTTAAATATAAAAATGTTATAGATTGAATAAAAAATATATATTACCTATTTCTATTATTTAATAAAAGTTTGAATTTATTTAATATATAATAAAACATCTCCCTTGTTCCGTTTTTTATGCTAAATGTGACTTGATTGGGAAATGAGATCAATGTCACAGATCAACGTTATGAAGAAATAAAAATAAAACACATATTACATGAGTTACAATAAAAAGAAAGAACGGGTGAAGCTCTTATTACACATTTAATTAGATATGAGATGACATGCCCATAATGGAACAAAATGCAGAAGCACTGTTGTAGGGTTCAGGTTCAGTTTTCTTATTCCTTTGTTTAAGTGATTAATAATCTGGACCAATAATATATATTACATTTTATTTATATAGCTATTAAGAATAAGCCGGTACAGGTTTCTAAACATAAGTATTTTCGCTATATTTATGCTACGTTATCGTTTATTGATCCAACATTGATCGTCAAATATTATCGTCAAATTAAAATCTTAACATGACTTTTTTATGAATTAAAAGTTAGTTGAACGTAAATGAGGCATGATTCCCTAATGGTTTGCTTGCGTATGAGTCTATTAGACACAATATCTGATAGAGAAAATGTACAAAAAATTAAATGACGTAATCTTAATAACTGAGGAATATTTATAGCATTTCCTGCGCCGGTAATAGTTTTGGAATCTAGTTAACTGATAAAAATGTTTCTACTAAATCAAAAATACTAATAAAACTGCATGCAAATTCTTATGCGAGGAAGGAAATTTAATGATAATAATCATAAAAAGCAACGAGTTGCAGTATATAAATACTATGCGGTGAATAAAAGAGGTTTGCAAAAAAAAAGGCTACAAGCTTTATGTCCGAGATTAACTACAATTATGTAACGACATGAGGTGATGAGTTTCTTATAAATCATAAACGAGATACGAGCTAACAATCCAGCTAATAAATAGCATATAAATAATCAAGTAATAGGTTGGTCTACTAGTAGTGGCCACTGCAGATTACGGAAACCTGTAATAATACTTCGAAGAGTAGGTAGCAGTAATTCACTGGACTATCATGAAATGCTTAACAGCTTGTAATTAAAAAAAAAGAATAAATAAGTGGTAGTTTTAAGGGTTGGTGTCGGTGGGTACGGAGAGTGAACTAACGGGATCCGGTCTAGCTACAAATTTTTCCTGTAGGTCGTGCTGCGATATGATTTCGCGCAAGATCGTAAGGAAGGACATTGCTTTGTGTTCCTTTGAATTTATGTAATATGTAGTGGTTCTCAGTGAATAATTCCATGCATATTCAAAACTTCTTTTAGTCACGTTCTCCGATTTGATAGTTGGTATTCCTTTTAAGCTCCTGCTGATATATGATATATGAACTGATAAGCCAAGCCGCTACATGAGCCAACCGTTGCTCGTCACTTAATTTCAGTACCAGCTGACTGTGTCCGTTCGTTTCAAGTGTCGATCAACCTGAGAGCATCTAAGTTCTTCTCCAAGTTGCTCGGATTTTTACCGGTGTCAAAAATTAGATAACTTCAATAAGCCGCCCCTCGTAAACTTTGTCTTCAAGTATGTAGTCTCTCTTTAAAAAGCGTAGAAACCCGTCGTACCAAGGTAACAAATCGCGCTCTCACCCGTTACATTACCATATAATTTGTCGTCCTCGCCAGATAAGCTGTACGCTTTTACAGAAATAAAGTGTATAAGTGTAATACCATAAAGTAAGAGAATACGAATATCTCATCTTGTTATGTAAAAATTTGTTCTCTGTGACGCATTGCCTCATGCCTCCTATAATCAGAGAATGTTCACGAAGCTGTTTGAAAATTGTAAAAATATTTAAAAAAAATGAAGGATTATTATATTACAACTTAATAAATTATTAGGATACTCCTAATTATTAGGCGATACATAATCTTTTCTGCGAAGACTTATAACTATAACGCTGCCAGAGCAATGAACATTCATTTTCTTCATTGCCATCAGCCCGTAAATGTTCACTGCTGGAGTTGGGCCTCTTCCGTTGTATGATGAAAATTGACCATCACAGTTAGGGTTGCCACTTTTTTTTGGAACAAATATACTGCTTTTTCCAAAAAGGATGCAAAAATATAATAATTTTGAGAAATTCCGGAGAAAAAAGTAGGTACAAATTTATTTTATTTATGTCTGAATGTACTCAATACAAATATGAATGTATATTTTCGTATATATTTGGCATTGCTCTTTGCTTTGGCCAACAATAATCTAACCACCTTACCTTCTACCTTACTTCTAAAATATTTATAGGGGTCTGAGCATTTTTATATTAAAATAAATTAAAAATTAATTTAAAATTAAATCAATACATTCTTTTTTACTGGAAAAAAATCTTTCCGTAATACGTACTTGTTCCAGATTTCTAATCACAGTTTAATATAAAAAAATTATATTTCTATGCCATGCTACAGTTATATTAGTAGTATAGTTGTAGCACGAATGGGTCGGCTAGACCGGGGAAGGACCACGCTCTCACAGAATACCAGCGTGAAATAGTAGCTCAATGCTGCTGTATTTCGTATGGTGAGTGTAGAGAACCGGAGACCCTTTTTACTGAAAATGAGGCATTCCATCTCAGTCCTCACGGGTGACAACGCATCTGCATTTTGATTTGTAATGGAAGATAGATGTAGATGTCTATGGGCCGCAGCAACCACTTACCATCAGGTGGACTGTGTGCTCGTTTGTCAGCCTATTCTATAAAAAAAAAGCGACAGTTGCATTAGGAATAAAAATATAGTATTTTTCGAACTATATTATTTTCTATAATATATAGTACTATTGACTAAAATATAGTATATAGAGTAAATATAGTATTATAATACGGGTGGCAACCCAAGGCACAGTACCAGACGTCCCTCAACGTTGACGCTGCTCCACGTCACAGGTCTGTGGATTTTACCTCTGGGGTAAAGGGAAAAGGGATAATAACTATCAAACAAGCTATTAGATCTTTCAGTCATTCCTCATAGTCGCCTGTTACGATATCTACAGGACAAAGTGAAGTGATGGAATCTCCGAATTAATAAGTATGAGATTTTTTTAGAAGGTTATTACACAAAAGCTTTTTTTTTTTCGAAAATAATCAACATGCTCGTTTATTTTAGTAGATAATATATTTAAATATTTTTATTATTTTATGTTTGTATAGGATATTTAATGTTTATATATGATTTTTTAAAGTACTGAGTAAATACTACAAATTATTTTGATATGAGTATGGGTAAACTAAATATACCAAAACTGAAATTCCACATGCAAAGCTGGTATAATGATATATTATCAGCTTAAGTTATATTATAATGTATATAACATAACTAATATCATTTTATTGAATGTATAACTTATAAAGCACGCTTTCATTTTTTTGCGAACAGTGACATCTATACACTTAGTGTAAACTTTCAGAGGGGTGTTGTTAATAAGCCCTATTGAGGACAACTCTAGTAACAACTCTTGTATCTAGTGAAGTTCAGAACGTGATATTTAAGTTGGAAAATAGATGGCGCTGGTAAATTAAATCGGAGTATTGATTTTTTTGCCATCTTACCTCCATTCGTGACGTATATCGAAGCATGTTTCCATAACGTTGATAACATTTTTATACAGA